GGTAGGAAATTACCGACCTCCATTTGAGGTCGGAAATTTTTAGGTCGGTATTCACTGTTTTTTAGTAGTGGACCTCACGGTCTGTGTGATGCTTTGCGAACCGTTTAGGCATTTTTGGTTGTTCCAGTTGCTGGGTGCAAGTCCACGGGAAAGGTGACGGTTCGTGGTCCTCTTCACGGCCGTGAACCCCTCCGTTGATTGCCCTTCTCTACCAGGCCGTCACACTGAAGTAAGCCACCAGCAGGAGGAGGATGAAATTGTGATGATGAAAAAAAGAAGTCATTGTGATAATAAAGTTGAAGTTGATTCAGAAGAGATATGTTCCATATGCCTATCTGAGTATGTAAATGACGACTCAATTGGTACACTCCGTTGCGCACACGAATATCACGCAACGTGCATATAGAAATGGCTGATGAAGGGCAAGAAAAATTGTCCAATTTGTAGATCTTCTGTTTAACAGAAACTTGACTTTTCTTTTTGTGGGCCATCACCAACTAAGGCAAATGGAGTTATCAAGTAGTGTGAAGTCCACTTACGTAGCGTCATAGCCCATATGTATTGTGGGCCCTAGAGCATGGAGATGGGCCTAGTGGGGGCCCAATAGTTATTCCAAGAGACAAAAAATAACAGCAAGTGGGCATTCCTCTTTCAACATGGCCTACAAACAAGTTTCCTCATTTTATTGAGTTAATATACCAAAAGGTCACTCAACTTTAACAATTTATCTAGTAAGAAATTGAAGTTTTACAGGGCGATGTGCACAAAGTTTATTCCATGAATCAACTATGGAGAAGTTTATAAGGAAAAATAAAATAGCTATGGAATTGGATGCCATTTTGACCAAAAAAATAAAGTACAAAGACAAATATAAATGCAAGTACCAGTTGGATCTGGTCCATGAATTAGTTCAAATAATATTGATCGGTGAATAGAATTCAATTGTTGTCAGATGACAACAGGGAATATGGACCAAAATTATTTAAAACTTGGCTTTTAATGATAAAATATAGTTAAATGATTTTTTTATACAAAAACTTAAGTTGAGTGATTTTATTGATACAAAACAAAATTTAATGACTTTATTAGATAAATTGTCAAAGTTGAGTGACCTTTTGAGATATTAACTTCATTTTACTTGTAGCTGTGGCCCTTCCTAGTCCCCAAATATTTATATGAAAAAAAACTTTGTAATATAGTAAATTAAGGATCAATATTTATCTGAAATATAATATTGTTCTAATATATATTATTGGGAAAAAGGATAAATATACCTCCGAACTATCGTAAATGGTATGCATATGTCTTCCGTCATACTTTTGGGACATTGGTACCCCTATTCATCCGATAGAATAGGAACGTTCTCACTAATGAACCTCTGCAGGCTCAACGTAGTTAGATAGAAGAACATTTTATGTTGCCATCTCTTGAAGTTGATTCCAGAGAACTTTGCAGGTTTCTCAGCCGGTGCAAGGGCAACAGTTGAACGATTGTGTTCAACCGATATTGTTGTTGCAACACTCACTGTTCCAACATTTACTTGACTTGAATTTGTCATTTTTCTGTCACAAATGGAAGACAATTTTAGTATGTGAAATACTAACAGTAAAGAATAAATTCTTACACAACATGTTTCTGATTTAACGATAAAGTTTATATGTTTTTCTAATCGTTAATCGAATGAATTTTAAAAATTCAAACAAAGTAGAAAACCATAAATGTTTTAATCTCCAGAAACCTCAAATACAGAAACCAAAATAAATTTCTTAAGCTTGTTATCTCCTGTATTCAGGTTAGGAGAAAACATAAACAGAAAAAATATGAAACAGACAGAAAATAATAATCCGAGTCCACAGAACCCACTGTGTTTCCTTAGGAAATTTAATCCCCTCAAGTACCCGAGGTTACAAATTAATTTCTCCCGAGATAAAATAAATTAACTATTAGAGAAGTAGCAGTACCTCAAACTTCACTAATTTCAACCAACACAAGAATAGCAACGAGAGCACACACAAACTCAGTTGAACGACAATTTTGTTTTTGTAAGAAAATGTATGCAGAGAGAAAAAAAAATCAGTGTTGAAAAACGAAAAAAGTCTCTCTATGTATAGCCACTTGCAGCAAGGAACGCGTATGTTAGGAAAATGGTGTGAACGCTTCTGTTCAGACATGTCTTTCCAGAATGTTATGTCTTTTGGGAAAAATAATGTCTTTTTAGAAGGAACAGGTCCCTTCAGAACGACTTTACCATTATGCGCAAATTTCAAATAATTCTGTTACGCGAAATCAATTTTGTTAATTAATTAACATTCTGAATTAATTTATAAGAGAAAGAAAATCAATTAATGAGATTGATTAAATAAATTTTGTCCAAAAATATTACCAATCAAATCTGAAGCCGAGCGAGAGACGACGACGGCATGAGGGGCACCTTCTTGTTAACCCTTTAAGAACTAAAGGAAGTGTTTCCTAGTATAAGAACAACAATATTTCTTTCTTCTACCAATATGGGAGAAATGATTTTTCATCTTCAAAGACTTTTAATTTGAAATGACTTTTCATTTTCCCTCCAAAATTGGTTCCCCCACATTTTCCATTTTCTCTTCTTATTTCCATTCACACCTTGCTAAAACCAACACCTTATTCGTAGAAGTCAGACAAAAATTCAAGTTTCGAGATCTTAGTTCACGAACTAGTCTACAACCTATAGACTAGACCCGTAAATCACAAACAAATTTCCGATCTGTGAAATTGATCTATGAATCTCATCTACGGTATGTAGTTACAATGTATTTGAGAATATTATGTTCAAAGAAAATACCATTTTGATTGTCCAAATAATAACTAATACAAACAAATTAAAATGGAGGGGAGTATAAATTTTAATAATAAAAGAAATGAACAATATATTTGGAAAAATACAAATATTTTACTAACCGTGTCAATTTATTAGTTAAGGAAACATTATGGTAACCGTGCCAATGTATTAGTTAAGGAAACTTTTTGTAACCGTGTCAATTTATTAGTTTAGGAAACTTTTTGTTAACCGTGTCAATTTATTAGTTAAGGAAACTTTCTGTTAACCGTGTCAATTAATCAGCTGTGTGTATATATATATGGTAGCCCGTGTCAATTTTTCATATTTGCAGCTCTCTTGTTTGTTGGGTGTCGCTAAAAAGAATTGTTTGTTTCTCTGTTTGTTGGTATGAATATGAATTCTTGGCAAATTGCTCATGAGAATCCTGCTCCGTTTCTCACAGATGGTCAGTCTATTCATGGTGTCTTTGTTACTCCTCTCTTTCCTTCACAACCCCACAAAAGGTGTAGTACTTTTCTTAATTTTTCCCTTTTCTCCTCAAATTAGGCTTCCCACTCACTTATCCTTTTCTAAATATTATAGAAACTCACTAACCCTATTCCTAATCAGTTTAGGTTTGCTAGTAATATTTTATTATAAATAAACCTGAAAGGGATTAAGTCTCCCGTTAGTAAGAAAAAAATATTGATTTCTTCTCTCAATATTTGCAATATGTTTCCAACAGGGTTTGTATGCCACAACTGCTTCAAGAACTCTGTTGTTAGTGCTAAACCAATTGCTTCTTTACCCTATTTAACCATTCACTAAACTCTCATGATCATACAAATCACCCTGCATTAATTTAACCATCAAATATTTATCATCTAAATCTTTTTACATTTGAAAAGAAAAAGCAAATTTATGTGCATACATGGAGGAAGGTGACACCAAAACTCTTGAATGTATCTATCAGTTTGGTTTGATTCTTTTTTTTTTTCCTCTGATGGGCACTCATGTATATCTGATGCTTAGTTCTAGCTCACAAAAATCACGAAAAACTCAATCAATCAGCCAACTATCCCTCAATTCCAAACTGGTTAGGTTCAACAAATACAAATCCACACAGATAGATGTTTAGAAGGTAGGTGTTCTTCCTCATCTTTTGTAAACTTCAACTGCTAAGACAGTACTTATTTTGTGTATGTAACACGAAAGCTGTTCATGATTTCGCCATCAAGATGGAGCTTATAGACTTTCTGCATAGTTGAAGAGAAGATTTTTTTATTCTTTTTTTGCAACTTTGTAGTTCCCTCGTATAAAAGGGCAGCTGGTGCTCAAAGCATCCTGCATTAATGTTAATCCAGGGAAGGTCCTCACCCCAAGCGGTACACAAAGAATCCCTCTTACTTACTGCTATAATGTGAACTACTAAAATTGTACCCTACCTCCACATATATTCCTGTTCGTTCGAGCCACTTCATTTCAATACAAGAAAGAAAAATAGATAGCACTAGTACCAAGAGATAGTCAACTCCCTCAATAAACACAACATATTCTCTTTTTGGAAAGACCCATATTAACAGAAACATCATGGATTGTCTGAATCAATGAGAACAAATTCTAGTAAACTTCAGATTAAAGACACAAAAATCAAGCTAATTAAAAACCAAAGTCTAACCATATACTTGCTTTGTTCATTTCCCCCCAAAAAAACATTTTTTTCTTCTTCACTAGTCTTATTAGGACAAAATATAACCCAACAGAAGCATAATGATTGAAACTCTATACATAATACAGCTAGTAATCAAGTCAAAATTGAAAAGAGACAAAGAACCCAAACAGATCCAACTACAGATCACATAATAACAACTACTCTCCAATCTAGTAGAAATCACCCACATCAATTAAAATCCATGTGTTTCCACTACAGATCCCATAACAAAAATATAAAAAAGAAGATTGAGTGATCTGAATACAAATCTACTATACGATGTTTCAAGAAGTGCTTACAAATTCGCTTTGCTAATTACCATCACAAATCCACAAGAAAAACACAATGAATTAACTGAAAGGTCTCACTCATTGATATACTAATTTAAATGATTTTTTTTCATACAAACAAGTATACACTATATGTTCGAGCATAATGCTGCGGATACATAATACTATATAGTTATGCTTAATAGGAAGGAACTCTACATATTCACACATAGTGATTGAGTATCTCATCCACTAGGGTATATTTAACATCAGGATAAACTTGTGATGCCTCTACTCCAAATGATGGATCAATTTCAAAATTAGTCTGTTCACCCTTCACAAAAGCAGGGTAAGAGATCGATAATGCCAAATTCAATGGAAACGAGGCTTCTGCAAGAAAGAAATACAAACAACAAGTTATGGACAACATACACTTGACACTAAGGCTAGAATGAGATTGTGTTTACCTTGTATGTTGTTGAGAAGTTGTTCCTCTGGTACATATATTCTTTCAAGATTCTTTCCATTTTTGTTCTCCCACAAAGATACCAACTCGTTTAATGTAATTATATTGTGCGGAGGCTTGACGTAGAGGATTTTGTTAAGCGTTCTTGGATCATCCACAGCCTTTATAGTATAGATACCAATGTCTTCTTCCTTGTTAAAAATAACTGTAGATACAAAAGGAGTTAGTAAGAAAATATGTCGTAAGAATAATCAAATTTGAGTTTACCTTTAGTATTGCCATCTCCTAAAATGAACACTTTGTCTTTGGGAGGACCTTCAGGTCCAAGTTGTGCCAAATTTGGAAGAAAATAATGAGCACAATAGAAGCTAGCAACATAAGTGAATGGTATTCCTTCAGCTTCAACAGCGCGGCGAATTTGAATTTTAGTATTAAATAATGTTTTAGCAGGCTCAACAGTATGCACACGATCTATATCATTCCCAAATTCAGAGGGAAAGAATCTCTGAAAGCAAGAGGCAATAAGAAGGTGTCATATATGACTCAAAAATTGATGGTCTGCTCAATTCACCCAAAATTAAATAAGTCGGACACAAGATAATTTCATAGGAAAACTGCATAATTAGACAAACTTCACTATCATATATACTATTATTACACCTCAATTTGACCTCATTTATTCGAGATACATATATCTTTCGACATATAGGATCTTATAAGTTTGATGTTATACAATTTTCACTGCATTAAATCAACACATGTCAAATAGTGCAAATAATAACTACTTCCTCTGTCTCAATTTATGTGGACTTTTCGTTTTTTGAGAGTCAGACCGGGAATTTGCGTATGGATTCTTCAATTTTTTTGAAATAAAATTTATATATTTGTAAATTACGTAATATGTACTATAAGTCACAATAATTGATAATTCAAAATGTTTAAAAGATCTATAAAAAACTTACGATAAAAGATAGACTTGTTTGAATCTCGAAATCCAAAAAGTGCTACATAAAATGGGACGAAGGGAGTACTAATTTAATTACTTCCTCCGTCCCATTTTTATGTGAGGTAGTTTGACTCGACACGAAGTTTAAGAAAGAAAGAAAGACTTTTTAAACTTGTGGTCGAAAATGAATGATAGAAATTTGTGTGACTGTAAAACATTTCATTAAAGGTAAAATAATCGTTCTATAGTTAAATTGTTGCTTAATATAGAAATGTGTCATACTTTTTGAAACTGACTAAAAAAAAAAATAAGTCACATAAATTCAGACAAAGAGAGTACATAATAAATTTTCAATACTTGTTAAAAGCTTTAAAACAAAAGAAAAAACAAATTGATTTGTTAAATTCATTGGGTTAACATTTTTGACTAAGTTGATATAAGAAGGAAAATTTGGACATTTTTTTAATATAAAAGTTTTCATATTTGTCATACTGCTTTATTAAAAATGATATCGGACAAAATTGAGTAAAGATGACTAGATAAAAGTTTTCATATTTGTCACAGATGAAAAAGGTATATATCATTATTTGTGTAGCAGTAAGTTATATGTGAGTCATTTGTAATGGTCATAGTATACGTGAACCAATTTTATAACGATTAAATGACAAAGTTAAGAATATATCAAATCCTTTTTTCTTTAATTTTAGGAAGAGATTAACCTTGACATTGCCAGCTTCTTTGATAGCAGCAATGATGTTGAGCTGATCAGCTAAAAGAGAATGACCAACAGTAGAAAACACAACATCCACTTGCTTTATTGCCTTCACTAAACTCTCATAATCATACAAATCACCCTGCATTAATTTAACCATCAAATATTGATCATCTAAATCTTTTTACATTTGAAAAGAAAAAGGAAAATTTATGCGCATACATGGAGGAAGGTGACACCAAACCTCTTGAAAGTATCTATGAGTTTGGTTTTGGTAGGATCGGAAAGAGTGGATTCTCTGACAAAGACAAATGTATGGTGACCAGCTTTAGCACTAGATTCGACGATGAACTTTCCAATGTAACCAGTACCGCCGATGAACAGAATCTTACTTTTTCCGGCCATTGAATGGAAAAGCTTTGATGAGAGAGAGAGAACTTAGTAATAGTGAAGGCTGAAGCAAATTGAGAGTGATTTGTAACTAGTAACGTGTGGGGTGTTTATAAAATAATATTTCTTTCGTCTAAAGAAAGAATGACCTAATTATTACTTGATATAGGGCTTAAGAAGATAAAAAAAAAGAACTTTTTAATTTTGAAATCTTAAATTAAAGTTGTGTCAAATATATTAATGTCCCCTTTAATCTTATATAAGACATTTGAAAAGCTCAAACTAAAGTGTTGCTAAAAAACATATTTAAAAAGAAAAATAAGTAATTTTTTTAAAAAAATGATGAAAGTAATGTTCAAATAGACAATTTACTTTGTCATTATTGACCGTTGAATAACCCAACTTTCATTGTGATAATTTAAAGGAAAAACTACAGACAAACATCAATATATATTTAAAACAAATACATATAATTTATTTTTTTATGTTTTATGGATATAACTACACAATAAATAGCAAAGTTAATTATATACAAATAATCAAGAAAATCATTAAATATTAAATAGGAAAATTATTATCACAAGGATAATTAATTATGTCTAGGCACATTTTATGTGATCAGTTTTTCATTTTTATCCTCATTAATGCTTTCTCTTTCATCAATATTCCTATATAACATATTCTCAATAATTTCCTCCCATATTCTTCCAATTTAAGATCATTTTGATAATTCTAGGAGCAATTTTTGTGATTTGAATTCATCAAGTATCTTTTAATTAATTTTTTTTCTCTTTTTTATGAAGATTATATTTGTATCCATCTATACTTTCATCTATTCTAATAGGGGTTCGATTGAAGAATTATTTTATTTTCTCCATTGCAATGGTTATAGTTATATAAAAAAAAATAGTAAAGAAAGAACATGAGCAAAAAGAGATTGAGGTTTGTGTGATTGTGATTTGAATTCATCAAGTATCTTTTAATTGATTCTTTCTCTTCTTTTTTTTTATGAAGATTATATTTGTATCCATCTATATTTTCATCTATTTTTATAGGGGTTCGATTGAAGAATTGTTTTGTTTTCTCCATTACAATGGTTATAGTTGCACAAAAAAAAGTAGTAAAGGAAGAACATGAGCAAAAAAAGATTGGGGTTTGTTTGATTATCAAATTTGTATATAGTAGAATACTTATATACATAGATACTTGTATTGTAATATTAACACAAGTTGAAATGGTAATTTGTGCATACACATATATCTGGATACATAAGTAATCTATCCAATTTAAAAGATTGATTAGGCAATACAAGTATAATTAAATACATTAATATTATATTTTTATAAACAAATACATGAGTTAACACCAAACCTCAAGTATTACAGAAAAAACTTGAACAAAAAGAGATTGACGTTTGTTGGATTTATCAATTTTTTTATACAAGCAAATACTTACACACTTTGATACCTATACATTCTATTATTTTCCATTTTTCTTGTTTCTATGTTGTCCAATGTATCCATCTTTTGATTAACAACAATGTATTCATATATATATATACACTATATTGTATTCATTTTTTGAATAACAACAATGTATTCATTTTTTCAAATTGTTGTGTTCATATGTTAATTGTCATACTTTACCTTGTTTGATATATTAATACATTAAGTAGGCGTTTGGCCATGTGATACCATATCACGATATGGTATTGTGAGATGGAATCAGCGTTTGGACATACAATTTTACGCTGATTCCATATCATGAGATGTGATTCCATATTCTCCAAAAACCATGATATGAAATTATATGGGAATTCCATATCATGATTTGAGATATTTTAATACAAAAATTGATCCACAAGTTTATATTTTGTTAAAACAACCTCACATTTATATCTACTAACCATTTATTTCATATGTAAATAAAATTTATAATCACATCATTACTTTTTAAAATTTATTATTCTCACCGACATAAAATTTATTATTATCGCCAACATATAGTCACTTTAACTCACACCAGCCGATTGTTGAGTAATAAATTTATTTTATGGCCTTAATAAGTGCACATTTATATTTTATGTGTAAGTTATTAGTATTTAGTTACATATTTCCCATCAACTTTGTTTAAAGAGATAATATTTATTTTATGACTTTGCATTATCTTGGAAGCACTGTTTTTATTACTCTTACAAACATTATTTTTATGAAGTGCATTCTATAATGCTTCCAATTTATTTTATGTTCACTAAACTATATTGATGTATTTTTATTTTGGTAGGATTGTGTTGGTGCGATTGATGGAACATATATAAAAGGGGAGGTTCCTAAAGCGGTGCAACAAGCATATCGTAATCGCAGAGGAAGAACATCACAAAATGTCTTATGTTCTTGTGATTTTGATATGTGATTTACCTTTGTTACTGCTGGTTGAGAAGGTATTGCACATGATAGTAAAATACTTGAGAATGCACTTGTTGAACCAACGTCACAATTTCCATTTCCGTCACATGGTAACTTTAAATTACATCCTTAGAATAAATATTATTTATTTACACAAACCTGTTTCATTTACGTCACATATGCTTTTAGTAATTCTTTATAAAATGTTTGTTGGTAGATAAATATTATGTTGTTGATGCTGGTTTTCGAAACACAAAAGGATTTTTAGCTCCATACAAAGGACTACGCTATCATTTGCAAGATTACTGAGGAATTGAAAGAGAGCCTCAAAATGCCAAAGAACTATTTAATTATAGGCATTCATCTCTGCGCAATGTGATTGAACGGACTTTTGGAGCTTGGAAAAATAGATTTAGAATACTGAAACAAGGCATGAACCATTATGATATTGATACACAAGTGAAAATTGTCATAACTTGTGCAGTGTTACATAATTATTTGCGAGAATACCAAAGTACCGATGAAATATTTATGGTCTATGAGCATGAAAATATAGTTGCGTATGATATTGACCAACAAATGGCCTTGGTTCGTCTTCTCGGTCACATGATCGAGAAATGCAAGTTCAACGTGAGGAAATTGTCCGTACTATGTGGGAGGATTATATTAAAGACTAGTACACTACAATTTTATGTTCAATTTTTTATTTATTAAATTAAAGTTAGATGTAACAATTACTTAAGTGGAGAACAAATAGCTTTGTAATAATTTATTATGCGATTTTATAAATTTTTGTTTATTTGATAAGACTGAATAAACAATTGTTGACACCAAATTTTGTCTCTCCTTTCTTCTAATTTATTTCGTTGAGCTTCTAAATTACTAATAAGTCGAATACTTTATAATTTGCTATTATTTTCTATTTATCTCTATTGCTATCGTAATTACTTTAACTTTTATTATTTCAATGATTATCATATTTTTATTATCAGTTCCACTATTTCAAAATTATACTTTTATTATCAACGTTACTATTAGAACTTTAATGTCGTCTTGTTTAAAATAGTATGTCGTTACTTTATTTCAAGTTTCTTACTTTCTAAACTTTTTACATAATATATATTACACTAGTTATTAACTTAGAAGCCCAAACGAATTAATTTAAAGATGGAAAGACTACAAAATTCAACTCTTATAATAACCAAAAACGAAGTCCAGTTCTTGTTAATCAATTAAGCCCACCTGATTCAAATAGGCCCAATAAAGCCCTTTAGAAATCATATCAGATTTTTCAAAGGATTAATTATTTGAGTGAATTCCTTTTAAAAAATAATTACTTATTTTAAATATACTCTTTAATTATTACCATTTATAGCAATAGCTAACAATATTATGTATTTTATTATATTTATCTTTCTCTCTTGCCTCTTTCTTCTTTTCTCTCCTGCCTTTTTAAATTTGTCTCTCTTTCTCGCTCTGTATCCCTTTCTTTCTTTCTTTCTGTTATTCTTTCTCCATTTCTTTGTTCTTTCTGTACGTTGTTCTCTCTCCATTTCTTTCTTTCTGTACATTGTTGTTTCTCCTTTCTTTCTTTCTTTATGCTGCTCTTTCTCCCTCTCTTTCTATTGTTCTTTCTCCCTTTCTTTCTCTCTCTACTTTCTTTCGTATAATAGTCAATAATTCGTATCAATAATTAATTAGACAAGTAATCTAATCGTAACAAATGAAGAGATATAATAAACTGCAAGATGAACTAAACTTGAATTAAAATGTATTACACACATATTAAAGTTGAATTAGATGAGAATTAAACATGAATGCAAAATATACCAAACGAAAGAGTATTCTATGATCTGTAAACTGAATAAAACTTGTATCAATAATGAATTAAACAAGTAATCAAATCGTAACAAATCAACCAACAAATTGCAAAATGAATTAAACTTGTATTAAAATTGTATTACACTAATATTAAAATTGAATTAGAAAAGAGAATTAAGCATGAATAAAAAAAGTAACTAATGAAAGACCGGATAATGGTCTATAGAGTGAATTAAACTTGTATCAATAATGAATTAAACAAGTAATCTAATAGTAACAAATCAACCAAAAAACTGCAAAATAAATTAAATTTGCATGAAAATTGTATTACACAATATTAAAGTTGAATTAGAAGAGAGAATCAAGAATGAATGAAAAACGTAACTAATGAAAGACAAGACAATGATCTATAAACTGAACTAAACTTATATTATTCATGAATGAAACATGTATTATATGTGTCTTGTATATTATTTTTGGTTTGTATCACTAAGAACGTGAGTGATGTTTGCAATATGTATTAAAAATGTATTGTGCATGTATTATAAGCGTGTTACCTAAATTACTTTAGTTGATATCATTAAAAAGGGAGTGAAATTTGCAATATGTATTATAAATGTAGGATGTATTATTCATGATTTTAATACAATTTTAATACAATTATGAAACATATCTAATACAACTTTAATACAAACACGATATAGTTTCATAAACTTCATCCTTTTCGAGCTTCAATCTAATATTTCTCCTAAAATCAATTCTAAACTTAACCAAATCATCTTGAAATTG